CCTCAGGCTGGGCATTCCTTGAGGCGAGCTTCCTTCTTGCTCAGCATCTAGAAACCATCAGGGACGACATAGTTTCTAGTAGACTATTAGCCTCTGTTGGAAAACTTACTTTTGTGTAGGGCAAGAAAAGCTGAAGGCCAGAGTCACCCATTCCGGACCTGGTACTTCTAGGGCGTGGGCATGTGACTTAGCTTCAACCTATCAAATGTTTCTTCCTCTCAGGAGGTGAGGATAGCAAGGAAGAAGAGAAACAGAGCTGGCTGTCGTATTGCCAGGGTTGGGGAGTGGGAAGGCCAAATTTTGCTAATGGATTACTATTGTGGGTCTTGGGAACTTAACACTTTGTTCTTTGGTTCCCAGATGTCCCCAAGCCTGGCTACTCAGTTCCCATCAACTCTGAGAGTTCCTTACAGTCTTCTGATTTGTTTAAATTAGCTTTGTAAGTAGTTTCCTGAAGGTTGTTTTATTTTATTTCATGTGTTTGGGTGCTTTGCTTGCATGTATGTCTATGTCCCTCATATGTGTCTGTAGCCTTCAAAGATCAGAAGATGACATAGAATCTTTTGGAGCTGGAGTTACAGATGGTAATGAACTCATGTGGGTGCTGAGAGTCAAACCCAGGTCCTCTGGAAGGGCAATGCTCTTACCCGCTGAGCCATCTCTCCAGTCTCAGTTCTGTAAGGGTTTTAATCAATACCTGGTGGAGCAGAGCCACTGTGGCCTTGACAACAGAGGCAAGGATGGAGGTACAGCTGTCCTCTGGTATCCACAATAGCCTGACTTTTTAGCGACCTGGACTCAAGTTAAAACCGGATCCTTCGCTTTGATGCAGAAAATAATTTCAGGATAAGCCAGTATGAAGCGGAGTGGTGGTTTATTCGGAGGTGTTTGGGGTCTAACAAAAGTTCCAACTTCCAGCTTTTCTGCCCACTCCTCTGCAGAAATCTTCACTGGCTTAATACCTCTGTTTACAGATGCTTCCTCTTGCAGGATGAAAGCTCGCTGCATACTATCCTTGCTGGTTTCCTGTTTGGGGCTTTATTTATTGGGCTAGTTCTCACTGTGCAGCACTGACTGTTGCAGAACTATGTAACCCAGGCTGACCTCGAACTCACAGAGATCTATCTACCTGTCTCTGCCTCTGGATGCTTAGATTGAAAGCATGCACCACCATGCCTGGCCTTTCATTTTTCAAATACATGTTAAGGTGTGTATTTGTCTGCATGTATGTATGTGTACTACTACATGAGTGCCCGGTGCCTTTGGAGCCCAGAGGAAGGTGCCAGGTCCCCTGAAACTGGAATTAGATGCTTGTGAGCCCCTTGATGAGTGCTGGTAACTGAACCTAGGTCTTCTGCAAGAGTATCAAGTACTCTTAACCACTGAACCGTCTCTCCAGTCCCTCTCTCTATGTATATGTATATATATTTTGGTTATTTGTTTTGTTTTTAGACAGGATCTATGGTAGTGTGAATGTAACTGGCCCTCCTAAGTTCACAGGGAGTGGCACTATTAGGAGGTGTGGTTTTGTTGGAGTAGGTGTGTCACTGTAGGGGTGGGCTTTGAGGTCTCCTTTGCTCAAGCTACACTCAGTGTGACACTCAGATCACTTTCTGTTGCCTATAGGATCAAGATGGAGCTCCTTCTCCACTCTCAGCTCCTTCTCCAGCACCATGCCTCTCTGCATACACGCTGCTGTGTCCCACCATGATGATAATGGACGAAACCTCTGAATCTGTAAGCCACCCAAACTAAATGTTTTCCTTTATAAGAGTTGGCATGGTCAGCTGGGCAGTGGTGGTACAGGCCTATAATCCCAGCTCTCGGGAGGCATAGTCAAGTGGATCTCTGTGATTTGGAGTTCAGCCTGGTGTACAGAGCGAGTGTCATGACACAGTCAGGGCTACACAGAAAAACCCTGTCTCCAAAACAGAGTTGCTGTGGTCATGGTATCTCTTCATAGCAACAGAAACCCTAGCTAAGGCAGATCTCACTGTGGTGTAACCCTGGATGGCCTGGAACTCACCATGTAGAGCAGATTGGCCTTAAACTCACGGAGACTCACCTGCCTCTGCCTCCCAAGTGTGGAGATCAGAGGCATGCACCACCATGCCCAGTCTCCCTCTCTGTTTTTGTTAAGTAAGTTATAGGATGGACCTAGAAGTGTCTTGGATGGGATTAGAATCTGATAAGGTTAAACGAGGGTTACACAAAGGGTTTAGGACATCTCTTCTGCAAAAAGAGTTTCTTGTTAGATGCTTAGAAAATTGGGCTCCATTGATTTGGATGGCTCAGCCAATAAAGGTACCTGTTGCCAAGTCTAATGACCTGAATCTCATCCCTGGGACCTGCCTGGCAGAAGGAGAGAACCAACTCCTGCAAGTTGTCATCTGACTTCTGCATTTGTACAGGGCTTACATGCATGTGTAAGCACACATGAACAAGGATGCAGACATGCATACACATGCACACATGCACAAGCATGCACACATGCATACACATGCACAGAAGATAAATGAATAAAAATTCAATTAAGAAAATATTTCTAGAAAGTAGAGGTATGTGGCTAGGCGAGAAGAAGCTTTAAGCAAATGTAATTGTGCTGGAATTCTTGATTTTCAGCTGGTGAGAGGCTTGAACCAAACTCCTGGGTGAAGGATTCTTTTTCCTTCCCACATACCCATAATTCCCCTGACTATCTCTCCTGCCTCAGCCTTTCTGTCCCCTGGCTCTCTCAGAGGCTCGCTTGGGCAGCAGGCCCCTTCTCGACAGCATCATTAGGCCGAGAGTTGGTCTCACACGTGGCTTCTTCATTTCACCTGGGAGGGTTGGCTTAGGCCAAGACCCACTTCCCGGAGCCTGAGTCACAGGACAGCCATGACTGGCTGGAGAACAAGTCTGTGACAAACTAGCTCCAGTCTTCTTTCTGGTCAGCAGTTGGTTTGGGATGGGAACAAATATAAATGGATTCTCGGACTTCTGGAAAGTTCCAGCTGTGCACCAGTGACTCACGAAATCTTTCCGCTGTGGGAATTTCCACTGGTGGTGAGGGTGGACAGAGACCAATCTTTGTTGACATAAGGCCATCCCCTGAAGCCATCACTGGCAGTGATCTTTCTGCTTTCCTCTCAGGCACGCTGACAGCACAGCAGGAGGGGTGACGGCTGGCAATCGCATCCAGAAATTTAGTGTAGACTTCCCAGGCTGGCCTGGAGGTGGTGGTGTTCACATGTGTTCAATTTAGGGTTACTACATTAAGATGCTATCAGGGAGGAGCTCTTGGTAATAAGACTCAGTCTCACACCTACTAACAGATCTGAATGCTACTTGAGCATCTTTTTTGTTGTTGTTTTTTTTTAATTTACTATTTTTATTTTATTTATTGATTTATTTTTTTGTTTTTTCGAGACAGGACTTCTCTGTAGCTTTGGAGCCTGTCCTGGAACTCGCTCTTGTAGACCAGGCTGCCCTGGAACTCACAGAGATCTGCCTGCCTCTGCCTCCCGAGTGCTGGGATTAAAGGCGTGTGCCACCACCACCCGGCTTAATCTATTATTTTATGTGTATGAATGTTTCATCTGCAAAGCATCTAAGTGCACCATGTGTGTGCCTGCTCCCTAATGAGGGCCATGGGTCCCCCGGGACTGCAGTTACAGACAAGGGCTCTTAACTGCTGAGCTGGCTCTGCAGCCCATCTTTTGTGTTTGGATTGATGAGGTTAGTAAGGGAAAAATGGTGAATTCAAACGATCTTTGGGGTGGTATGGAGGTCTTTCTAACATAAAACTCAGAATCTATGAAAAGACAGGATGAGTGAAATTGACTGGATAAAAATTCAGATTTTGGAGAAGCGAGGAGGGGATAGAAGAGTCGTGGAAATGAGACCTGTGGTGGAAATGTAAAATGAAACAAAAAACTATTTTAAAAATAACCAAAAAAAGAGAAGAATCAATGTTCAATTAAATATTAAAATATCAGCCGGATCTCTGTGAGTTCAAGGCCAGCCTGGTCTACAAGAGCTAGTTCCAGGACAGGCTCCAAAGCTACAGAGAAACTCTGTTTCACCCCCCCCTCCCAAATTAAAATATCAGAATTAAAGAAAGAAAAAAAAACCTGAAGCCAGGCAAAGTGGCACAAGACTTTAATCCCAACACTGGGGAGGTAGAAGCGGTGGATCTCTGAGTTCAAGGTCAGTCTTGTCCCAGAACTAAAAAGAAATCTCAAACAGGTGTGGCAGCTCTCACACCAGAACACAAGGCAGCTCGAGGCAGAACTACTGTTGACAGTTGGAGGCCATTTTGGGCAAAATAATGAGTGCCAGCTAACCTTTGGTTGATGGTGAAATCCCATCTCAAAAAATTCAAATGCCAGATAAATAGAAGCAAAATTAACAGTATTTCTGCACTGGATCAACGGATGAATTATTTATTTGTTTGTTTGTTTATGTTTTTCAAGGAACAGATTCTCAGCCAGGTGGCGGTGGTGGCGCACGCCTTTAATCCCGGCACTCAGGAGGCAGAGGCAGACGGATCTCTGTGAGTTTGAAACAAGCATGGTCTATAAGAGCTCATTCCAGGACAGGCTCCAAAGCTACAGAAAAACGCTGTCTCAGGAGAAAAAAAGGAAAGAAAAAAAGAAAGGAAGGAAGGAAGGAAGGAAGGAAGGATGGATGGATGGATGGAAGGTTCTCTGTGCAGCCCTTGCTGTCCTGGAACTCACTCTACAGACCAGGCTGGCCTTGAACTCTGAGAGCTGCCTGCTTCTGAAGGGATGGGATTGAAGGTGTGTACCACTTCTGCCTGGCTTTCATGAATAAGTTCATCATAGTTAGCGTCTTTTCCTGTGCTTAGATCTGACCCTACACCATCTAAATCCCAAATGGAGTAAGATTAGACTCTGTTGTAGAATCAAATTACTGATTTAATCTGGGAGGTGTCACCCACTACAAAGGGGCGGGGTCAGTGGAAGGGGCTATAAAGAGTCAGAGCAGCCAGAGAAGCCCTCAGAGACTCAGAGTCTGGAGCCACAAGGTTTCCCTGCCTGGATCTAGAGGCCTCTCGCCAGGGTATAACTCAGGATCTTTATTCCTGAAAACCAGTCACAATGGGAGACCAAGCCCCGCTGACACTCCAGCAGCTAGCAATAGAGAGCCTGCTGAAGGAGGAGCCCTTGGCCTTTCCTGCTGCTGTGGCGGGCCTGCCCCGGTTGCTGTTCCCAGCCATGCTTGAGGTGGCCTTCAGGAACAATCAGACCAACATTCTGCCGGCCATGGTGCTTGCCTGGCCATTCACGTGCCTTCCCGTAGGATCCCTGATGAAGACCCCACACCTGGAGACTTTGAAGGCCCTGCTTGATGGACTAGATATGCTGCTTACAGAGGAGGCTTGCCCCAGAAGGGGGAAAATCAGAGTGCTGGATCTGACAGATGTGGACCCTGGTTTCTGGAGCATATGGACTGAAATGTATGAAAAGGACTGCTCTCATCAGGACAGGAGACAGAAGAAGCCAGTGGAGACGTGTCCTTGCTCAGGGGTGAAGAAATATTTGCACGTAGTAACTGATCTCAAACTTGTGGACAATCAGTTCGATGAATGTGCCATGTACTTGTGGGAATGGGCCCAGCAGAGGAAAGGTTCCGTTCATTTATGCTGTCAAAAGCTTGAGATTTTGGACCCATATTTGGCCGATGCCAAAGACATCTTGCAGTCAGTAGATCTCCCCTGTATACGTGAGCTGAAGGTAAGAAATTTATGGATTGAAGAAATGGCTCCTTTTGGATCATACCTGGGACAGATGAGAAGCCTTCACACACTCATGCTGGAAGGCCTCGTGAGTAATTTCAGGATCGGTGAGGCTGAAGAGCTGGAAGATGAGTTGATGAACACATTGTTCTCACAATTACCCAAATTGCACTGCCTCCAGCATCTCTATGTAGATGATATTTATGTTCTAGTTGGCAGCCTGGCAGAGTGGCTCAGGTGCCTGCAGAAGCCCTTGGAGACCCTGTCCATCACCTTCTGTCGCCTCACACAGAGAGACCTGGATTACCTGCCCCAGTGCCTGAATCTTTCTGGGCTCAAGCATCTCTACCTGAGTAAAACACTTCTTTTTGAAGTGTCGTTTGAACCTCTTGGAAAGCTCCTCGAGAGAGTCAAAGACACCTTGCAAACTCTGGTGTTGGAGAAATGTTTGCTGGAGGATTCTGCATTTAATGATTTTATGCCTGCCCTGAGTCAATGCTCCCAGCTCCTCAAGATCAATTTTGTCGGTAATAAACTGTCTCTGTCCCTCCTGAAGCAACTCCTTCACCACACAGCCAAACTGAACAAGCTAACCCAGGAGGTATACCCTGTTCCTCTGGAGTGCTATGACAATAGAGGCCTAGTGCTTATAGAGAGATTTGACGAAATATGTCCTGAGCTTCTGGATATACTCAAGTCCAAAAGACAGCCCAAGGCAGTCAGTTTTGTGTCCACCGACTGTCCCAAATGTGGGCAGTCCTGTGTCTATGACCTGGAGAGCAGACATTGCCTTTGCTGGCGATAAATTGGGGAAGGTTGCTGCTTGGTACCAAGATTAAAAAAAAATTAGATTTTGGGCAGGAGAGATGGCTCAGCGTTTACAAAACAGGCTCGCTCTTGCAGAAGATCCAGGTTCGATTCCCAGCACCCATGTGGGGCCCTCATAACCTGTAATTCCAGTTCCAGAGGATCCAGTGCCTCTGGCCTTCATGGGCACCCAAACTCATACACACCCCCACACAGAGACACATAATTAAAAATAAAGTAAACCTTTTAAAAAGCCAAATATTTCTTAATCAGAAGTTTTTTTTTTTAAAAAAAAAGATTTTATTCTGTGGTGTGTTTGCGTGTGCACACAGTATTCTAGGCCTGAGGGAAACAGAAGAGTGTTGTGGGATATTTGCACACTGTGTGAAGATGTGTTGCTGGGATTGGTGTAATAAAAAGCTGAACAGCCGATAGCTAGGCACTTCCAGGCAGGGAGAGAAACTGGAAGGAGAAATCTAGGTGAGTGATTTTGCCAGCAGACTTGGAGCAAGTCAGATGTACTAAGAAGAGTTAACCAAGGCACATGGTAGGATGTAGATTTTTTTAAAAAAAAAAATGGGTTAAGTTAGACGAGCTAGTTGGGAAAAAGTCTAAGCTAAGGCTAAGCTTTCATAATTAATAATGAGACTCTGGATCATTATTTGCAGGATGGTGGTCCAAAGATAGTCTGACAAGAAAGTTTGCTACAGAAGCAAATGTCAGAGCCTCTGGAGCTGGAGTGGGTACTAGGGTCTGAATTCAGATCCTGAAGATGAACAGGGAGTCATGTTTGTCCTGTAAACCATCTCTCCAACATTCAAATTTCTCCATTTGATAAACCTCCAGAAAACAAACAGCAAAATGAGAAAAACAGTAGTTACCGGGTCAGCAAGACGGCTCAGGCTCAGAGGGTAAAGGCAATTGTTTTATCCCAGACCGTGAAGGATTATTTGTTTCTTCCTTAGATCCTACTTGGGTGTCCAGGTAGTTACTCTCCTGTTCTGTTTGTTTTTTAAAGATATGTTTATTTAATATGCATTGATGTTTTGCCTGTATATACTCTGCATAAAGATGCCAGATCCCTGGAACTAGAGTTACAGACAGTTGTGAGCTGCCGTGTAGGTGCTGGGAATTGAGGCCAGATCCTCTGGAAGAGCAGCAAGTGCTCTTAACCACTTGATCCATCTCTCCAGCCCTACTCTCCTGTTTTTATTCAGTATAACCATTTTTTTTCTTCTTTCTTTTTTCTTTTTTTGAGACAGGGTTTCTCTGTGTAGCTTTGGAGCCTGTCCTGGAACTCACGCTGTAGACCAGGCTGGCCTCGAACTCACAGAAATCCATCCACCTCTGCCTCCTGAGTGCTTGGATTAAAGGCATGTGCCACTACCACCCAGCAGGGCAGCCATTTCTTTTGTAGCATCAACACAGAGGTGTAGTAAGTATCTCTCTGTCCCGACAGCCAGTTCTCTATTATAGGAAGGATGCTTGGTCGGTTGGCTGCTCAGCAGCTCAGACCCAAAATAACCACACAGAAACTGTATTAATGACATCACTGCTTGGCCTATTATCTCTAGTTTCTTATTTTGGCTAGTGTGGAGGGCCGCAACCACATTCCCCATTGCTTCAAGGAACAAAGGTAGAGATTGACCTCTGTGACCTCAAGGTGTGGTGGTACGCGCCTTTAGTCCTGATGCCTGGGAGGCAGAGGCAGATTGACCTCTGTGACCTCAAGGCATGGTAGTACACACCTTTGGTCCCAATGCCTGGGAGGCAGAGACAGGCAGATCTCTGTGAGTTCAAGGTGATGTAGCACAGGCCTTTAATCCCAGCTCATGTGCTTGGTAACTAACTCTCTACTGCTGCGTCCCTGCCTACTTCCGAGGCATCATCTGGGATAATGGGCAGCGGACCAATCCAAGAGTGACACGTCAGAAGCGAGGACTGTTTCCTTTATAAGGGCTGGGTTCCCCTCACTCTGGGTCTCCGCTTTGGAAGCTGATGCTCTGCCTCTCAAGACGCATTAAAGCTTTACTGCAGAAGAATCCTAAGTGCCCCGCGTCGTTCTTGCGGGCGGGACATCAGCGCAGGACGGGCTAGCTCTTTTTTTATACACTTTTAATTGATATTTATTGAGCTCTACATTTTCCTATGCTCCCCTTCCTGCCTCTCCCCTCCCTCCTTCAATCCTCCCCCAAGGTCCCCATGCTCCCAATTTACTCAGGAGATCTTGTCTTTTTCTACTTTCTACTTCCCATGTACATTAGATCTATGTAAGTCTCTCTTAGTGTCTGCATTGTTGTCTAAGTTCTCTGGGGTTGTGGTTTGTAAGCTGGCTTTCTTTGCTTTATGTTTAAAAACCACCTGTGAGTGAGTATATGTGATAATTGTCTTTCTGTGTCTGGGTTACCTCACTCAAAATAATGTTTTCTAGCTCTATCCATTTTCCTGCAAAATTCAAACTGTCGTTATTTTTTTCTGCTGTGTAGTACTCCATCGTGTAAATATACCACATTTTCCTTATCCATTCTTTGATCGAGGGACATTTAGGTTGTTTCCAGGTTCTGGCTATGACAAACAAAGCTGTTATGAACATAGTTGAGCACATGTCCTTGTGGAACGATTGAGCATCCTTTGAATATATTCCCAAAAGTTATATTACTGGGTCTTATGGAAGGTTGTTTCCTAATTTTCTGAGAAATCGCCAACTGACATCCAAAGGGGTTGTACCAGCTTGCATTCCCGCCAGCAATGCAGAAGTGTTCCCTTTTCCTCACAACCTCTCCAGCATAAGTTGTCATCAGTGTTTTTGATCTTGGCCATTCTTACAGGTGTAAGATGGAATCTCAGAGTTGTTTTAATATGCATTTCTCTGATGACTAAGGATGTTGAACATTTCCTTAAGTGTCTTTCAGCCATTTTAGATTCCACTGTTGAGAGTTCTCTGTTTAGGTCTGTACTCCATTTTTTTTTTATTGGATTATATGATCTTTTGGTGTCCAATTTCTTGAGTTCTTTGTATATTTTGGAGATCAGATCTCTGTCTGATGTGGGGTTAGTGAAGATCTTTTCCCATTCTGTAGGCTGTCATTTTGTCTTGTTGACCGTGTCCTTTGCTTTACAGAGCTTTTCAATTTTAGGTCCCATTTATTAATTGTTTCTCTCAGTGTCTGTGCTGCTGGAGTTATATTTAGGAAATGGTTCCCTGTGCCAATGCATTCAAGTGTACTTCCCACTTTCTCTTCTATAAGGTTCAGTGTAGCTGGCTTTATGTTGAGGTCTTTGATCCATTTGGACTTGAGTTTTATGCATGGTGATAGATATAGGTCTATTTTCATTCTTCTACATATGATGTCCAGTTATGCCAGCACCACTTGTTAAACATGCTTTCTTTTTTCCATATGGTATTTTTTGCTTCTTTATCAAAGATCAGGTGTTTGAAGATGTGTGGATTGATATCCGGATCTTCTATTCGGTTCCATTGGTCCTCCTGTCTGTTCTTATGCCGATACCAGGCTGTTTTCAGTACTGTAGCTCTGTAGTAGAGCTTGAAGTCAGGTATTGTGATGCCTTCAGAAGATCTTTTATTGCACAGATTGCTCTGGCCATCCTGGGTTTTTTGCCTTTCCAAATGAAGTTGAGTACCGTTCTTTTGAGGTCTTTGAAGAATTTTGCTGGGATTCCCCAGCATAAAGATGTGCATCTTCCCCACATAAAGATGGAAAATACACAGAGAGTCTGGAATATGTATATTATTATGTTTTATTTGAATTTTTTGACTGCAGAGAGATATTTGATTCTGGGGCTGCTAAGCTAAACCAACATAAATGTATCTTCAAAATTTGAGTCTAAGGATATGTTACTTTGGGGAAAAAAAGGTTCTGCTTTTGTTTCCACAGAAGAAGAGGACCTGTGGATCCCTTCGAGGCTAATGTGGTTTAATGGAACGAGAGCCCCCAAAAGGTATCCATGAACTCTAAAAATACTTTGCCCAACAAACAGCAGGAAGCAGTTTGGAGAAAACTATGCCCAAATTCCCCAAATAATTGTTTATAAATGTTTGTTCTCATTTAAAGGCAGCTGATTATAAGTGATTAATGGTCAGAGTCAATTACTAAAAAAGGGGGGGAATGTAATATAAAGATGAATACTTTGCATTTAGTATAAATTTTGGTTTATTTATAGAAATTTAAGGTCAATTTTGTTATATGTATATTTCTACTTTGTTTAAGGTATTATGCTTATACAGCTCATTTAAAATGTAATGGAGAATTTAAAATGACAGATTAATAGATATAATCTATAATAGTCAAACTGTAGTCAATTTAGTTAGGTTTTCTAGATATACAGAGATATATTTCAGTTAGATAATCTTCAACACTTCAAAGACCTATAGCGTATGGCATTTAAAAGGTTTTAAGAACGTAGACTTTTCTCAACAGTGGCTAGTGGGAAAGAGAAAGACTTACTACAAATGAGCCCCATATTGGACACCATTTGTAGTAAGTCTTTCTCTTTCCCACTAGCCAACTCCCAAACAATGACATGGAGACTTCCTATTAATTATGAAAGCTCAACTGATAGCTTAGGCTTGTTTTTTAACTAGCTCTCATAACTTACATTAACCCATTTATATTAATCTACACTCTATCACGTGGCATTACCTCTTCATCTCGCACCTCCTGTTTCCTTTCCAGGTCTCCTGGCCTCTCCCGTGCATCTGCATTAGCTTCCTCTTCCTTTCTCTCCCTGAAAATCCCACCTATACCCCCTGCCTAGCTTTTGGCCATAAAGCTTTTTATTATGCCAATCACAGCAAAGACATCTTCACACAATGTACAAATATCCTATAACACGGAGGTGCTGCCGTGAACCAAGGGAAACATGGAGAGCTAATGAGGACCCAAGCAAGCCTGTGATATCATCAGTACTACAATGGAAACATTATACAGCTGTTAGGGGTAGGGATAACCTGGACAGGTCATGGTAGTGTGATGGAGAACCCCACATTTTCCTCTGCTCTCTACACCACCAACAGTCTTGTCCTGTGGTCCCAAAAGAGAAAACTTCAGATATAGGTGTAAAGGACACAGGAGTAAAACAATCAAGAGTTGGGGCTGGAGAGATGGCTCAGTGGTTAAGAGCATTGCTTGCTCTTCCAAAGGTCCTGAGTTCAATTCCCGGCAACCACATGGTGGCTCACAACCATCTGTAATGAGGTCTGGTGCCCTCTTCTGGCCTGCAGACATACACACAGACAGAATATTGTATGCATAATAAATAAATAAATATTTTTAAAAAAACAATCAAGAGTTTTATTTCTGCACATATTAGTATTTTGCCTACATGCATGTAATGTGTGTATGTATGTATGTATGCATGCATGTATGTATGTATGTATGTGTATGCCTGGTATCTGGGATGGTCAGAAGAGGGCTTTTGGACCCCCTGGAACCGGATCTACGAACTGTTGTGAATTGTGATGGGGGTGTTGGAAACTGAACTTGGGTTCTCTTTAAGGGCATCAAGTGCTCTTAATCGCTGTGCCATCTCTCCAGCCCCGCAGGCAAGCGTTCTAACTAGAGCGAGGAAGGAAGTGAAAGTATGTTCTTTGGGAGGAGCAACTGGGGCAGAGTAGGAATGGCTGCTTCCTGGCATAAGCGGGGTTTAGATTTGTCCTTTATCTGTTATCCTCTCCCTGTTCCCCCCTCAAAGAGGGTGCTTAAAAAAAGTGGCCTGTGCCAGGCAGGGTGGCACACGCCTTTAATCCCAGCACTCGGGAGGCAGAGGCAGATGGATCTCTGTGAATTTAAGGCCAGCCTGGTCTACAGAGCTAATTCTAGGACAGCCAGAGCTATTACACAGAGAAACTTCATGATATCTGCAAGGTTATGCAGTAAATTAGCTGACTTTTAGAAGATCTACTTACCAGAGATTGACACATCTGATGGAGGATAAACTCACGTAGGCACGACCTGTGAAAAACACTGCCTTTTGAATAGCTGGCCGTCTCTAGTTGCAGATTCCCTTGTGTGATAGCATGCTTCCAGACAGTGTCTTCCTCATATGTCTGGCACAGTTTTCCTGTGTTCTGTTAGGAGGATGACTTCTTCCCCAAACAGTGTGTTCTGGCAAATGAAATAAGACAGTCAAACTTTTTGCCCCACGCTGCATTAAAAAAAAAAAAAAAGATCTTGGAAGCCTGCTCTCTACAATTAACTAACTCTCTCCTCTGACAGGATGGCCATGTAGAAGTCCTTGTGGGGTGATCATGGGAGGAGCTTTCACAGAGTGAACTGCAGGTGTCTGGCTTTGCTAATCTAAGTCCCTCAAAGATTCATGATGAATTAGGGCGGTATTGCAGGCGTCTGTCCTTGTTAGAGCCTAGTCCTTCAAGAGATCAATAGCACCTAACTGACTAACCATGTCCAGTTATTACTAATCACACTTAAGAAATGTGAAATAGTAGACGTATTCTTCGCCTCAGTCTAGTTTCTTCCCTTTGTAACCCCTTTAAGAGATGGCCGGGACCTCCTTACAACTGCAGCTGTGGTTGGCTACAAACTAGCTGGCTGATAAGTGTTGCTAGGGTTCTTCAAAGAATGCCTGTGGCCCTGAGAATTTTCCTTGTAGTTTTTTGGGTTTTTTTTCTTACTAACAAGTTGCTAATGAATGTTTTATACACACACACACACACACACACACACACACACACACTTGGGAATTTGTAACAGCAGAAGAAATGATTGGAAGAGGAAAGAATGCAGGGGGATAAAGAATGTAGGAAAATAGAAGCAGAAGAAGAAGGAGGAGGAGGAGGAGAATGAGCGTAGAGTAATTAGAACAAGAATGAATTGGAACAGAGATTTGTTACAGAGAATTGGAATTGGATTTGAGACAGAATTAGAGCTAAGAAATCATAGACAATTAGGACAAGAAAATTAGAATTAATTCTGAGCAATAAGGAAGCATGACTGGAACTGCAAGCACGTGTGTATTCCATTAAATTTTCTAAGTCCTTTTCGTTACTCTGAGCCAGCCTAACCGAACCCGAACCCTGGGAGGAAGTCAGGGAGGAAGTCAGCGGGCTTTCGATAGAAACCCTGTCTTGAAAAATAAAAAAGTGGCTAAGCTCGTTTTACTTATTCTAAAAACAAACATTTAAGCTATAAGAATACGTCTAGAGCTTTGGCCAGGCGGTGGTGGCGCTCGCACTGGGGAGGTGAATCTCTGTGAATTCGAGGACAGCCTGGTCTACAAGAGCTAGTTCCAGGACAGCTAAGACTGTCTCGAAACCGCCCCTCCCCCCCGAAAGAAAGAAAGAAAGAAAGAAAGAAAGAAAGAAAGAAAGAAAGAAAGAAAGAAAGAAAGAAAGAATGTCTAAAGGTTTAAGGACCCATAAAGTTGCAAAGTTCCCTAGGGGAAAAGGTAGCAGAACTCTAGGTATGATCCCTTATCCAGAAAGACCCTGAGGCCAGTTTAAGGTGGGCCAACTAGTAGACCACTATCATCTATTGTTTTTTACATCCTGTTTTGGGGGTCCTTGGCTGCCTCTGAAGAGACCACTATCCCCTATTGTTCTTTATGTCCTGCTTTAGGGGGGCTGGGATTATTCCCTCCCCAGAGTTGACCTCCTCCCTAACACTAAGGCAGGCTCCAAGGAGGAGGCTGTGGAAGAATAGAGCGCCAAAGCAGAGCGAGCAGGGCGGGGCTTTCACGCAGACGCAGGAATATCACGTGTGAAAACAAAGGGGTGTGCAACACCCGTGCCTATGCGTAGTTGCCAACCGCGGGGAGAACTGCGGACTTGGGCCATGAGGAACTGTACCTGCTGCGCAGATTTCTTCCCTGCTCAGAGCCCGTCTTTGGCTGTCGAAGGCTCAACAATATCATTTGCCACACAGTTTTCCGCTGAAAAAGACTGATAAATCCACCCAGCTTCCATTTTTTTATTGACAAACGCACGAAGGTTTTAGAGAATTGAAACGATCCGTCTCAGGTAAAAGCCTTGGGCGACGCTAGAAAGCTGACTCTAGTCCGCGGATTTTTCTCGGCCTCCGATCCTGAGGCATTGCCTAGGGCTATCAAACCCTCGGTGAGCTCTGGTACTGGGTTTGACTTGTATCTGAGCGGACTACATTTCCCACAATGCCTCGGGCCCAGCTTCCCGCCCACTGCCCAGCTGGACGCTGCCTCCACCAGTAGTGAAGCAGAGTTTCCAGGGACTGTCCTGAGCAGCCAATGGGCGGGGGGGTGGGTGGGCCTCTCCCGTCCATTGTTCTCCGTACCCCATGGGCTTGAGCTGAGGTGACTCCAGAGGGGCCGGGCCGGACCGAGGGGCGCTTTTGCGCGCGGAGCGACTGAGGGAACAGGATCTGGTCCCTGAAGAGGCCCGCGTGAGAGGCAGGTCTGGAGCCGCGCGTCCCTCGGGGAACAGTCAGAGAGACGCGCGAGTAACGGGCCTGGAGCCAGCTGAGGGCAGCTTGGGGGAGGGGCGTGGGTGTCCGCGCCCGGCGGCTCGGGGCTCAGCTCTGCACCCTGGTTCCTCCGGGCCCGCGGAGTTCTGCTCTCGCCAGAACCCCGCGCACACACAGCCTAGGAACGCAGCTTTGCCCTGGGAAGGGATGCTCGACCACATCCCGCCGAGCCTCCTTGTCCGGATGGGGAAACTGAGGTTCCGAGGGGGCGTGTCGGCTCCCGCTTTAGCGAATGGGCTGTCTAGGTTCAGTGTGCCTGTGCTGCCAGGGAATAATTCCGATGTATTTGTTTTTCACGTAGTCATTTGGACTAATTGACATTAGAAGCACCAGTTTGTTGTTCTTTTATTGCTGTTCGGTTTTTACTTTTGTTATTTTCATGAGGGTGGGAAGGCATGTTATCTGAATCTATGGTGTAATGATTTTTTTTTCTTTTTTATTCTTTTTTTGGTTTTTCGAGACAGGGTTTCTCTGTGTAACAACCCTAGCTGTCCTGGAACTTGCTCTATAGACCAGGCTGGCCAGGAACTCACAGATCTGCCTACATCTGCCTCCTGAGTGCCAGGGATAAAGGCGTGCACTACCACCGCAGGCTGGTGTAATGATTTTTAAAAACAAATATCATTGCTTTCATAATATTTAAATAGTTTTTAATTTGGTAAATCCTAGATGATGGGGCACGGTATCTCAGTGCTCAAGAGGTAGGGCAGGAAGATCAGGAGTTCAAGGCCATCTGGCTATGGCTACTTAGTGAGACCTTGCTTCAGAAACAAAAACAATGTCTGAACTGAACCTGTAGGGACTTTTTCTTGTTATTCCCTAGCAGTACAGTGTAACAACTGCTTACATAGTATCTACACTTGTATATGTTGTCTAGAGATGACTGAAAGTATATAATACACCATTTGCTATAGGGCCTTGAGCATCTCTGAGATTCCTGGAACCTGTTCCCTGATAACTTCCTTCAAAACATAGCAGGAATGCCTTTTCCTCGGGAAGTGGGGCATGCATTGACATATGCTCCATTGCTAATCAGTAAGATGTCCCATGTGATAAGGATGAGTGTTATCATCTATTTATTAAGTGGTCACTGAGGTTGAATGACTGACCTCTGTTGACTTGGTCTGAACTGACTTAGGGCCGGATATGCTAGTTCTGTTTCCCTCACCCAGAACGTTGCCTTTCTACCGCTCATTCTTTGGCCTTCTGAAAAGAACGGTGCCGTGTTATTATCTATCTCTGTGTATTTCTTTTGCAGCGAGAGTCTCCGTGTTCAGGAGTAAGGTAGCAAGCCTCTGTTGGTTTTGAATGTAAGGCGGCTGCTGTGAGTTAGGAGGCCGTCAGGTAGCGTCCTTAGTGATTCTGGTTCTCTGTCTTGTTTCCCAGCAGCGTTTCTAGTTGAGCGTGGAGAAAGAAGTTGCCTTCTCTGAGAGCCCGCCTGGAGACAGGTGGAAGGCTCGAAGAATGGCAGCCGAAGAGCCAGCAGAGACCACTCCCCTCAGCCCTTTGGTTCAGGTACCTCAAGAAGAGGAAGATGAGCAGGCAGAGGTCACCACCATGATCCTGGAGGATGATTCCTGGGTGCAGGAAGCCGTGCTGCAGGAGGATGGCCCTGAGTCTGAGCCCTTTCCCCAGAGTGCTGGAAAGGGCAGCCCCCCGGAGGAGGGTGCAGCCTCGGGACCTCAGGGTGCCCTTGTCCGATTTCGGGAGCTCTGTCGGCGCTGGCTGAGGCCAGAGGTACACACTAAGGAGCAGATGCTAACTGTGCTACCAAGGGAAATTCAGGCCTGGCTGCAGGAGCATCGGCCTGAGAGCGGCGAGGAGGCTGTGGCCCTGGTGGAAGACTTGACCCAGACTTTTCGGAACAGCGGTAAGATGCAGAACCTCATAGGGAGCGGGCCGGGAGCCTCCCGAGGTGGAGTGGTGTAATGTTTGCGCGGACGCAACTAGTCTCCACACAAAGTAGGGGATGGCGCTTGTCTCTCCCTGCTGTCTGTGGCATTCAGCAAGATCTTCGCTTTTTTAATACCCTCACTGTATGCAGTGGTAGCTCCAGAGTTTCAGTAGGAGGGGCTTGGAGGGCTGTTCTTGGAGCTTCATTTGCATACTAAGTAGAGCTTTGACTTGTTTATGCGGGAGGTTGGGAAGCTGATTGAGATCTTGGGGTGGTCTGGAATAAAGTTCAATGGTAAATAAAATGCTTGCCTAGAGTGAGGTTATCTGGAAGCTAGTTTTGGGCCTGTGATTGTGAGAAAGTGGTGGATTTTTTATTGTTGTTGTTGTTGTTGTTTTAAGATAGGGTCTCATTATGTAGCCCTGGCTGGCCTGAACTCCCTGTGTAGACCAGGCTAGCTTCAGACTTACAGAGATCTGCCTGCATCTGCCTCAAAAATAAGACCTTCTTCCCTTAGGAGGACTAGAAGGAAGCACAAAAGTGACGTCTGTAATCCACCCCTTGGTCCTTTCAGTTGTTTGTAAGCATTCACATAGTTCCAACAATTTTTAAAAAATGCATTTTTTTTCAAAGTAGTCACTGAATGAAACCATGATAAACAAATAAACTGTCTGGACTTTCTGTTGTATGAAGTTAAAAGTTAGTTTTTGGTCAGGCATGGAGGGACCCACCTGTTATCCTAGTACTCAGAATTGAGGCAGGAGGATTGCAAGCTAGGTCTCTGTATATAGAATAGATATCATCTGGAGAAAGAAAGAAAAAGCAAAAGGTAATTCCAGACAAGGTCCTTACAGTGGTTTCTATATTTGTGTGCTGCGTTAGTAATAAATTCTGGATCCTTCGTCCATTCAGCTATTGTGTTTGCATTTGGCTCTGGACTATAAACTGTGCTCATTTGGTTACCCAGGATTTACTTCACTTCTGCCTTTCCCCTAGGACCATTTCAGCACCCATAGGGTGTGGCTGCTTTGTGCTCATGAAGTACTTGAGTTTAGAAAAAAGGAGTAGGTAGAGGACAGGCGAGATCAGAAGCCGTGGACCATGTGTAGGAGGTTGCAGAACAGAGTAGAATTTGGAAAATCACAGGGCGAGGAGGAAGCTGTGACAGCTGAGAGGAGCTGTGTTCAGCCAAGCGGGAGAGCCGAGGAAGGTTTCTTCAGGTGACAGTGAGGCAGACTTGCTGATTGGAAAATGTGCTTTTAGGAAGTGGTGGGAGTTTGGGGGAAGGGAAGACAGACAGAGTTTGAATTAAACGTCTATGGCCTTCGCAGGTTCTTGAACCAGGGCCTGTGGAGCATGAGAGGAAGCTGAGTTTGGCAACAGGATGTAGGTTTGATTAAATTGGGGCTGGCTAGAGAGCAGCCAGGAAGCAGCCTGTTCATGGGATGTGAAGTGATGGGGTCAGGAGGAGGGGGAGACTGTGGGATGTGCAGTGATGGGGTCAGCAGGAGGGGGAGAGACCATGGTGATTGAGGACAAGATTGGACTTGACATGTGAGAAAGAAGTAGTACTATAATAGCATTTTGGGGGTTCTTTCTTCAGTTCCACAGTCTGCTTAGCATCTCATGTACAAAACTTGTATAAATGGCCACCTTATTGGAAGATAAGTGGATTATTGTCATCAGAGTAGAGTGACATTTTAAGATCATGCAACTGGTATGAGTTAAAAACCAAGATCTGTGTTCCTTTTTTTTTTTCTTAATGTGCATTGGTGTTTTTGCCTGCATATATGCCTGTGCAAAGGTCTCAGGTTCCGGGCTGGAGAGATGGCTCAGAGGTTAAGAGCATTGCCTGCTCTTCCAAAGGTCCTGAGTTCAATTCCCAGCAACCACATGGTGGCTCACAACCATCTGTAATGGGGTCTGGTGTCCTCTTCTGGCCTGCAGGCATACACACAGGCAGAATATTGTATACATAATAAATAAATAAGTATTAAAAAAAAAAAAAGAAAGCCACAGTGGCATTTCTCAAAAAAAAAAAAAAAAAAAAAAAAAAGGTCTCAGGTTCCCCAGAACTGGAGTTACAGACAGTTGTGAGCTGCCATGTGGGTGCTGGGAATTGAACCCGGGTCCTCTGGAACAGCAGTCGGTGTTCTTTTTATTTTGTAATTTTTTTATTGATTTTTATTGAGCTCTACATTTTTCTCTGCTCCCCTTCCTGACTCTCCCTTCCCCCCACAGTTAGTGTTCTTAACCACTGAACCATCTCTCCAGCCCAAGATCCGTGTTCCTAATCATTTCTTCACATGCGTGGTCCTGAGGATTCCTAGTGAGGCACTGGAAGGAGGAGATTCCAATCAGGACTAAGGCAGTGACTCACATCATCCAGTCCAGTGGACTGGGAAGACTGGCAAGGGTGAGGAGAAGGTAGTTTAGGGCAGAGGGCGTGACCTTAGCTAGGGACTGAGAAATATGGGTAAGTCTGTCCTCAGGGAAAAGGTCCTGACTTTGAGGATTGACTGTGGCCAGCCCTTTACTGAGCATCTTGTATGGTACTTACATATGGCACA